AAATACTTTACTTACGTGCAGCAGACGCCGCGAAGGCCAGTTCTGCAACTGTATCAACCACACAGAAGTGGAAAGTGATGACCGGACAGCGGTCGACCACCAGGCTATGGTCATAACCACTGTCACAATCAGCACTAGTAGGGCATACGCAACTTCGTCGCCCACTCCTTCGATTAAGTACATCGTTGTTTTGCCTAAAACAAAACAAAATATAATTGCCGATCACGTTTTAAAAAATGTTGAAATGTTGCGCAAAAATTTAGGCTATAAAAAGAATCCACCCTTGCTACTACAAAGTTTGGTAATTTTTGGTTGTACGACCTTAATTTAAAAGGTTTTACGAAATAAAGCAACATTATCAGAATAAGCACCGGCATTATGGGTTTGCTAGCAAACTGCTAGTTTTCAATATTGCCGATAACAAAAATATTCTCCTGTAATTTCTCTGGATTTACACGGCGAAGCATCGTCTCGATGCTTCTAATAGCCTAGTGGACTTTCTATGCAGGCTCAGGGCTCTATGGTAATTTACCATCTGTAATTAATGGGAGCTCAACAGCGCTACTTGTTAGGTCGAACAAACAGCATTATTAAACAGCTTAAATTATTAGAGACAAAATTCTAATTTCAGTAACTTTTTTCTCCTGCATTTCCCACTGAAACGAACTTCGTCTTATAAGTACTGGGAGTCATTTACGTAATGAAATGAATACGAGTACAAACCAATTGATGAGTTCATTTTTTTGCTGCTTTTCCTCGTATACCATCTCCAGTCTAGGAGCTGTGCTGTTCAAACTGTGCTATTCTGATATGATTACGACAATTAATTAGGAAAAAGACTAAACTCTCTTAATCCTTCTGACTCCAACTACTATAACAGTTGTTCGACCTCAGGCGAACTTGAACCAACATTATACTTTATACTTCACCACTGTGAAAACCTATGCATTTCATATACTCATGTCTCTCATCATTGAGTTGCCAATCTAATACGTCATTTTACAATAATTTAACTTCTATTAACAATACATAACCAGAATATTAGTGATCCTGTCGGCAGGTACATAGTTCTTAATCAACAGCTTCTAAAGGGTCTATTTTGCATAATTACGCTAAACGCGATTACCAGACGTTGTGATTTGAATTGAACTACAGAAAACAGAGATCATAGTTCACAAAACCCAAAACCATTTTTTGTAAACAATCATGAATTACTCCCTAAAGACTGATGCAGCACAATACTTGAGGTTGGGTAAACTGTATATAATATACCAATGCGGGGTGAAAAAACTGCGTAAATACTATTTGATGAATAAGTGTATTAACAACAAAAGAATCGAGTCTCGAAAGTTGGAACATAAAAAAGCAAAGCTATGACGTATGTAAACGTTTTCCCTACTTATGAAACATACGCAAGTTTACATAAACATTAAAAATAGTTAACCCATTTTATGCAGAAAACGGCATTCACGCATTGGTTCTCACGGCAATGCTTGAAAAGGGCTTGCAAACAGCAAATGCGTCAACAAGGTGCTTCTACGAAAATCCTTGTTCCAATCAATTAAACACAACGGAAACATTTTTGTCAGTCGGGTGCTCGATCAGTACTGACGTTTCGACATCTGTCAAGGGCCTTCTTCAAGGTAGAGAGAAGATTGACTTCGGAAGTACTTACTGTCATTCGCAGCAGTGTGAGTGTACGCAACCAGAAAGCGTTATCATAAATAAACCGTGTTTAATGATGTTTCCGGTAGTAAAACCTCCAACGACTGAATCAAATACTGAATCTATTATATTTCTGTTCTTAGTACACCTCAGATTAAACTACGCAAATATAAGCAATCAGGAATCGGAAATTTGCTGCCTGAACTATCCACAGAAGCATGAAAAACCAACATCGACAAATATTTCGGCAGTCACATAGCGCGCTGGTATTACTACATAATAACACTAAACAAATACTACAAACAGAATCACTGGTAAAAGAGTACGTGACGGAAGATTCACTGATAAATCAATATAATAAATATTTTCCAAGATTGTGATAAATTACAGGAAACACACGTTAAAAAAGTTTACAATAAATTAAAACCACACAATTTACAAATATTTTCACGTTGAACGTCAGGACAAATAACCAAACGCCGAAAGCAAGCTCACTCAAAGTACTGAATGCAACTTACTACATCATATATATTTTTAATAAAAACTTTCAGTCGATCGCCACCTTTGCTTAATTTGTTGAACACTTTATGTGCTGTTACATAACGTCGTATACACGCAATTAACACTACGGTCAGCTGGATTCAATACAGTATAATTGAACAACAGGTACAGTCATTTCAGCTACTCGTAATTAATTTTCCGGACCACCACGTTTTAAGTATTCTAGTCCTCTGGCACAAATGAAAAATAACATAAAACACGGATTACGCAATGCAAGCAATAAAATATTCAATCGAATGATTTGGCCACGACAGACGTTTATACCAATGTGTTACTTGCTTTCTCCAAATGTCAGAGATTGTTGGTGTTTTGTCAGAGGTTTTTCTTATTGTCCGCAATCATTTGTAGATTGGATGCATAAGTGTAGTTTTGTGTGCTTCTTGCTGAAGAGTTTCTCAGCGGCAAGAATTATTTAATCTGTGCAAAGTTCGTATCCTTTGCCACAGTTGACATTATCTTACGAATAAATGTTTGGCACGTCCATGCTGTCAGCGATTTCTGTAACGATTCCGGTACATCTTGATCACTGAGTAGGGGCATGTCTTAGCTTTGTCGCGTGCTGCACAATATCGGAGGTCCATTTCAACTTGTTCTTTGATATTGTCAGGAGCAAGCTTTAGCTTTTCTCAGGTGTTGTAATTCCCTCTCGCTCGCGCTCGTCTGTGATAATTGATCTTCTCGAGCTTGACAGGTAGGTTTTGTTATCTGAATGTCGGTACTATCTGTTTCTGCTATGTAACATTCCTCGCAGTTATGCGGTGATTTGTAAACCTAGCAGAGAGAGGTTTTTCCAGAATTGCTGAAAAACGCATTATGTTCATCAGCGATTTTGCATGTAACGTTAGCATTACAGTTGGCGTTAAGTAATCACTGCAACTATACAATAAGTGTTTTATGTGAACTAAAATTAAGCACGCTTTATCATTTAAGAGATCATTTGCTACATTAATGGCTGCAGGTTGATTTGAAGCAGCTTATTTTACGGTTTATGATATTATTAACGAACTTAACTGATTAATACTGTTAAGTAATATTTATTCAGCATGATTTATTTCTTCCTTAATAAATTCATTACGGAGTCGCATGACACTGTCTAATCAAGCTGTAACTACAGATCGCTTAATTATGTAACTGATGATCCGAGTTAAGCTGAAATATTTATAGCATTTACCAGAGATCAGAACACCAAAATTGGGTATGCAAAAGTTTTTGAATGGTTGACTAGATATTTTGAGGTAATGAGCCATTGAGGAGGTCCAGTCTCATTACCATTGAGGCAGATAGCAAAACTCTCGTCAAAACGTCCCCTAAAAATTCTTGTATGCCTACTTTCAACCACAATTTCGAAGTTTCTCAAAAATTTATCCAAGGATTGGAAAACTGGGTCTTACATGGTTTCTCAGTTAGTTGGCTTGAAGAAACAATCATCGAAGAAGGAACACCGTTTTTTTCAAGATGCTGGGTAGAATATTAACGAGCGTGTTAGAAGGCGATGAAAAGAGTGGAGAACAACTGAAAGCGTTCACCCTTGATGAATTAACGACAATCTTTATCTTTGTGATGAATTTTTAACAGTTTGCAAATTCGTGGACAATGCAAACAACCAGGCGTGCGGTGTTCCGATGGGCGCCCCGGCGACTACCATTTTAGGTGATCATCATTTGGACTACTTGGAGGAAAAGCCCTTATGGAATTTCTGCCAGAATTCCGACCTTTGTTCTATGTCCAATTCGTTGATGACATTTTCTCATTATTTCCACTAAATATGGAAGAACTGAAAAGGCTACAATGCTTCGTGAATTACATGAATGGAAAGATAAAAATGGCTTAATACGCTTTACTACTGATATGGAAGTTCACCACACTATATCTTTCTTGGACCTGCTGGTGAAGATTA